AGAGCCTTTGGCAGGCACCAAGAAGCTCATCCACCAGCTCCTCCACCACCTTGCACATGCCAGCCATGTATGGTGCTGGCCACTGGAGGTAATCAGCCCAAACTCTGCCCACTTTACAGGTGTCATCAGTCACTGTGTTCTTTGACTTCTTCCTCCTCCTCCTCCTTCCCCTTACTTGTGGAGCTGCCCTTCTTGCTGCTGCTGCTGCCCAGCTCACGGCTCCTCTTCCTGAGCCACCAGCAGAGCCCAAAGAGCAGTATAAGGAGGCCATCAAAGGCCCGGAGCTGCCGCTGCTGCAAGGCAGTGAAGAAGAGGGCTCCTGGGGTCACCCCACTCTGCTCCTGGCTCTTCTCCTCCACCTTGTGCAGCAGCTGAGACATGTCCTGTCTCAGCAGCTCCGCACACTGCCTCATATGCTCGTGCACATCCACATCCATGTGGTCAGCCACCAACTACGGCCTCTGGGTGATGCCCAGCACAGACAGCGAAAGGAAGATCACTCGAGCCATGGCATGCAGAAGCCGTGTGCCACAATCACCTACGGCCAAGGCCACAGTGTGGCAACACTACCAGCTGGTGTCCCTGATGACAGCCCCCGCGCTGTGACTTGTCCTCTGTGCTCTAAGGGGCCCCACAGCCACATCACACCAGTCCTTCTCGCCTGACCTCACACCTGCTCAGATCGCTTACATCCAAACTGAACCTCCTCTGACACACTTTTTGCTAATATCTCAGGTCCTGTTGCAGTCCCCAGAGAGCAGAGCTCAGCATCTGCCCCTCCACTCCCCTCCCCTCCTGAGGGAGCTGCAGGCTGCCATGAGGCCTCCCCTCAGCCTGCTCTGCTTGGGGCTGAGCAAACCAAGGGGCCTCAGCTGCTCCTCATACGTCTTGCCCTCTAGACACTTCACCAACACGCTTGTTCTAAGGCCTGTTTGAGGAGTGGCAAAGACCAGGAAAGTCCCATGGGAGAGCTGCCCCCAGCACACAGCGCTGGGCCGCTCCCCTCAGCCTTCTGGAGATGCTGCCTGCCACGTGAGGGAAAAGAGGCTGCTGCTTCTTCCCTTCTATCCTCTTCAAAAGAACATGAGAAAACAGCTGTGTATGTTAAAATGTTGGCCACAACACCCACTATGCTGCTGTTTTCGTAAATAAAAGCTGGTTTTGTAACTTGCAATTTTGCTGCATGCTTAAGGAACTGAATAAGGAGTTTTGCATTGTGTGTGGTTATTAAGAAGGTAAGCTTTAAACCCCTCAGTAAAAAGCCTGTAGTTTTTACCAATAGCCCTGGGGTCTGAAGTAAAATCTAATTAATCCATAAACCATAGCAAATTGCTGGCCTCTACAGGGACCGAAGAGTTAAGCACATATTTCAGACATTTTCTGTTGGGATAGCTAACTCCTCTACTGAGGAGACATACTGTGAAAATGGACTTCTTCCCTCCTCTGAAACTGTTCTGCACCAATGTTTCACTTAATTGCTCCTTGGAAAGCAATGATCAATAAAAGAGAGGAGCTGTTTTTGGGGGAATGACGGCAAGTGCCCCGATGAAAGTATTAGTGTGGAAGATGCTCCTAGTGCTGCAGAGATGGTACCCAGGGAACTTCTAGCCTGCACTGTCTTCAAGGGTGACTTCCCATTTCCCTGTGCAGGAGTTTTTGAAGGATAGCCTCTCGGATGCACCTCTGTCCAGGACTCCCAAACTGCAGAGGTGGCCTCTCACAGGATGAGCTCCAGAACCCATGGGCACTGCTTGGTGGCCCTGGTGGCACTGAGCATCCTTCGCACACAGCGTCACTGCAGAAACTCTCTGATCCTTCCTTCAAAGGCTTCGGTAGCTCGCTGTCCGCCCCCCAGCTTCTACTTGGCCATCACTGGGGGATGTGGGTGGCTCTCATGGGGACAGACAGACGGCTTCCCAGCACAAAGGCCACCCACAGCTCCTTTGTAGTCAAAGAAAGAAGCTGCAAGAGCTTGTGAGCCTGGTGACTGTAAATATGTAGTCCCCCACTACACACACACACACACAGTCCTCAGGAGTGGCAGAAATGTTATAGCTGAATTAAAACAGTGTTTTAAAAGCAAAGACTGTAGCAGTCAAAAAAAAGGAAAGTGATTTCAAGTGGCTAAAATTTTAGCAGTGCTCACAGCCCTGCCTGTGTGCACAGCCCATGCAAGGGAAGTTTGCTGCACCAGAGCCCAAGCAATAGCTGCTTCCCTTGTTGGAGATCACTATGTGTCAGATACCTTCCCAAAATAACACTCAGGTCCACATGGGGTGGAAAAGGTGTTTCACAAGTATATCACAGATCAGTCTGCCCATCCATCCATCAGTCTCTCCCAAATGAGGTCTGAACACTCCTGGCTGCCTTCAGCCAAAAGAGGTCTTCGAAGTTCCCACGGATCTCATGTGGCTCACTGACCAGCTACAGAAGGAGAACCAAATTAGCTCAGGAAGACACACAGAAAATATGGGTTCAAGTTCATGGACAGGTAAGCAGGGAACAAATTGTCTTGGGACAGGTAGAGATGGAAGAGAAAAACCTTTTAGTCTAACAGTCAGCCCTGTGCTATGAGCACAAGACAATGGTTCCTTCTCTGTTTCCTTATGTGAAAGGCTGAAACTATTTTGAAATAAAGCCAGCCTCTGGTGGCTTTTCTTTTCTTGTCTTTGTTTTAGATGGTGTATTATCTTTACTGGTTGCAGGAAATACAATAAATTGAGGTATTTTTACATTTATAAGTAGGAGTGGTATTCATACAACATTAATAAACATATTTCTTTAGCATCTCAAAAATGCATTAGTCCTGTTTTTAGAATATTAACCAAAATTTTGAAACAAGTTCAGCACCTCACTTTTATTCAATAAACCTCTTCTTATTTCTTCTCTCTTGGGTATTTCACTGCCCCAGTATCAGCAACCACACCGCAGGGAAGCTCATATGAACTCCAAATCCTATTTCAGGCTCTGTCCTGACACCCTTTGTTGCTAACAGCAGCTAATTGCCTGTACCTAAATAATAGAAAGCATCATATTACAAGCTTCATTTGATACTAAATATTTAAAAGACTCAGAATGATGTAACCCGTTTTCCCTCTACATACATCTGCAAGCCATCTTTGTGAAAGACAGGTACATGTAATGCACACATGTCCTAGGAAACACATGCCAATGCCAGTGTTTGAGAGTGTTTTAGGAATGAATACTCAAGAAGCTTTCTTGACAGAAAACCTGCTGCAAATAATATGCTCCCTCCCTTCTGAGGGAGCATGCTTCTCTTGATGAACAATGAGGACACTAAGCTGAACCATCTCCCGGTGTCCCCCCACACTGTTCCTACTGGAGGCCGACTGAGATGTGAATAAGCCACGCAACCAGGAGGTAGGGAGCTTGCTTAAGGACCATAGGAGTCACATCCATGAATGAATTTGCCACACGGTTGTATTTGTGATTTATAGTTCTCGTTCCACAGAGCTATGATAGCTTTTTAATAGGAAAAACAGGTATTGCTGCTATACCCCGTGGTTTTGTTATGCTCAAGAAGGTATGTGGGGAAAGTTCACTGAGTATTTGAAAAAGCAGGAAAGAAGCTTTTTTGCAAATCTACTGCACACAGAAATAGCTTCCCTGAAATTTCTGCTTTCTTCTTGATAAACAAGGTCCGGAATCACATTAACCAGATTTGTGCCTGGCTGTCTCTGGGGTGGCACTGACAAAACATTTTACTGGTGCTCTGAGGATTTAGGAGTCACCTGAAAACATGACCCCATCATCTTGCAGTTATGCAGAGGGATTTTGTTGCGAAGATCAAATGAGGTAAAGTGCAAAAGCATGAAAGGAACTGTTAGCTACTTTAAGTATTTGTAAACCTCATTATTCTGCAGTTTTAATATTTATCAGCCTACCTACAAGGCAATGACAAAGAACAACACCTTTAGCAACAGATGCTGTGTTCTTTGTCTTGCTGAATAAATTTGACACCAGTTTCTCTAGGCAGTAAAGTCTAAAAATCACTTTATTACTACAGATCCTGAGCTGTTGCCCGGTGATCAGTTAGTCTGCAAAGCCCTTCAAGTGCTTCACCACTGGTCCACTGACTCCATTGGGTTGTGGACACAAATAGTACCTCAAAAAGGCCCCATTAACCACAGTGCTTTCCCCTTGCTCTTAAAGCTCAGAAGTGCTCTCTTTCCCCCAGGGCATGACATGAAGTGTAAGGTGTGTTTTCAGATCTATCAAACGGGTTCATCATGGGCTTGGTGCCAAGCCTGCTGCAGACATCTGAAAGAGACCTCTGCTGATTTTGGAGGTCTTCAGAATAGCTGTTGTGTGAAAAAAATAAAATCAAAAAGGTAGGAGGAGGAAGAAACAGTCCTTACAAAAACAGTGAGATCAACAACAGAAATGCTCAAGCTGAAGCTGCAAGCTTGACAGTCTGTTTGCACGGCTGTGTTGAACTTAGCAAAGGTCCCTACAACTTGGAACAATATAATCTAGAGGCACAGAAAGCTGATCAGCAAATACTTTTGTTTGTATCAGTGTGAATTCTTATCTGTGGGACTCACCTGGATGCCCAAGAGCTCAGTTCCCATCTGAACTCATCGACTCTATTCCCGTTCTTGTAACTCAAACAGCTGGGCACTGTTAGGGAGCAATTCATTCCCCTATTTCAAGCCTCTATTTTAAGGTAAGTAGAACTGGAGTTCCCTATCAGCCTGCACCGGTGACAAACAGCTTGGATAATGAACACAGATGAGATGCACAACCTGAAGAGGGCTAATGTTAGGCAAGGGAAATCCCACCCTGTATAATCATCCACCTTTTAGCTCACTCAGAGTTTATAGGCAAATCAGCAGCCCTTGCAAAGGAACAGCCTTTGATGGGAGAATGTAAAGTCACTGATAATCCTCTTGTCACCTTGGTGTTTCGCTGGTTGCTTTCTACTTACACATTCCTTGCTATATAGTGACCTCGCAAACAAAGTCAGCACTCCATGGCAATCTTGTTCAAAAAGTACATATATTTAATAATGATAACAAATACATTTTTTTCCCCTGGAATTTCCACTACTGTATTTCAATTAGTCCCTTACATGGTCACTGCGGTTTGACTGTACATAGCTACTGTCTAAGCTGGATACATGTTTATGTTTTAGCAGTGTAGTACTCATATATTCTCTATAAATATAATAAAAGATTTAACATTTCTGTTTTCATTCTGATTCTTACATATATTTACTGGGTTTTCACAAAAAATACATGTCTCTTTCCTGCCTCCCCCAACCTTTTATTGGGTTCCAAATAAACCTGAGTTTGTAATTCAAGTCAGTATCTGCCATCAGGTACACAAGCCTGATGCACACACACGACGGTGTTTCAGTTGTCCCTGCTCACTAGCTTTGCAGCGCAAACGTGTTCTTAGTGTGAAAGAAAAGAAAATGGTTTGATGTTTTTAAACAAAAGGAAGAGATAAAATGGACCCCTGGGATACACGGATGTTTCGTACAAATAGAAGATAGCAACTTTCAATCTCGAGACAAGCAAAAGTATTTCAGGGCTTTCTTAATAAGTGAGGATTTCTATGTATATAATTTTAGAGCTGCATTAAGTACCACAGAGGCGTGCGTCCTCACTACCCTGAAGAGTACAGTAGGAAGCACGCAGACTCCCCCGTACAACCTGACAGGCTGCTTTGAAGCCGAGGTGAAGGTCCCATCTGCAGGGATGAGCATTCATGCTCTGCTGGTTTTTCCAGCAAGCACTCAAAATACTGAACAGTCCAATTATCCACGCTGTTAGTATTTGGACTGATGACCTTTTTGGTTTTTTTTGGAAAATGAGGAATATGCACTCAGCTATGGGCTCTGCTGGGGACCCTTTCACCGCCTCTGGTGGCCCCACTCCCCCAGTCCTTCTGCACCTCATGAAACTGGAAGGAAAGCTTTTCAAACAAGGGAAACTCTCCATATTCGTACAGAAACCAAAGCAGTGGGGCTCTAAAATCATTTGCAATAACACTGATAAAAATAGGACGTGGGTTCCTACTGATGCAAAATCCCTATATTCCAGTAAAGACCCCAGTGAGAGGGCAATGCTTCTGCTGCCCCATTTGTGGAATGGCGAGAGGTGGGTGGGTAGCAGTGGGGTACCCAGGGGGGGACCAGATTAGTACAAGCTTTGCTGAGATGTCCCGTATACACAAACACATATGCAAGCGCAGTACAGACGAAATAAAAGCATAGTCTTTGGCTAAACCTTCTAGTTTATAGGAAATGGTGAGAACACAAAAACAGAACCAAAAGATGTTGCCAACCCCTCAAATGTATCATTTACTTAGGAAAACAAGACCAGTATGCAGAACATGTTGCCTTTTAAGAAACTTAATCTTCACAGCTCATAACGATACCAAATTTTTGGTAACCACTGCATTACCAATCTTGCAGTATAAAACGGCATTGGTACAGGTTCACATGTCCTTTATTAGTCTCTTTAATTCACTGCAGTCTCTCAGAAAAGCCTTCAGGTATGTCCAGTGCTGTGTTGCTGTAACAGGGGCTACTGCAATCCTGCACACAGGAGTGGAGCTAGTACAGCTACAAAAATTGGAGGTGACTGGGTTGTTTAAACACAGCGTGTTGCAATTGGGATTACTGCCTAAAGCATCCACTTGCAAACCCATTACATGAAAGGAACGGGCCTTCAGTATGGTAAATCGAATCTCCATGGGATGTACCTTGTTTTAAAATAATTGTGTTTCTTCTGAATGACATCATTAAATCATTTTCCTTAGAAAAAACTGATTCCATTATTAGCTACTTTATGTAATTAACTAAGAGCTGCTTTGACTTTCAACATTCCCACTTTTTCTAAATGTTTAGATCGCCCATGTCTTTATTCAAGCTTCTACCAACTTTATCTTCTTGGCAGTGCTTTTTAGCAAGTTGATTTTGGAAACAGCATCTCGAGTTTTTCCACTTGTCGAGCCACGTGAGCAATACCTGTAAGAGCACAACATACAGTGTGGCACAGGCAGGTGGAGCACGGACAGTCTTACCACTAGTCCTGATGGGACCAGCGCTCATGGCACCACACCAATTACCTTGATGAATCAAATCATTAATGCTCAGCGTTCTTCCAACCTACTTACCGCAATACTAGATCACAGCAGTGAAAACACAGACTAACATGGCTCTTTCAATATGTTTTACTGTACAGTCAGATGCCAAATGCTAATATTTCTTAACAGCCCAAGCAGAGCCCTCTTCTTTCAGCTTTATTACGTAGGACAACCCCTTCCTTACAAGCAGATCTCTGACTTTCTACGCTGGACAACTGTAGTGTATTACGTAGCAACGGTAACATGCCTGTGGCTTTCCCCTCTTTTTAACAATTAAAAAGGCTAGGTCCCAGACAACAGCAGTACAAATCCTGGCCTGCCAGATTAACACTGGCCGCTGACGGCGTCTGCAGCATTGAAGGTGATCTGCGTGGGGCTCATCTGCTGCAGCTGAGGCATCCGTGCTTCCAGCGGCTTGTCGCTCGCCGACTGCATCGTCTGGTTCCTCTTCCGCAGCATCTGTCCAATCCCCATCATGGGGAACCTGCCCCTGCTTTTAACACAGTTAGGGCTGCCCAGGGGGTTGTTGGAAAAGAGCTGAGTAGGGGACACAGCTTCTTCCTTTGTGGGATATGCTTTTTCCTCGTATGTGAAAGAGACTTGGGTGGGGTGGACTGGGGACGTACTTCCTGGCTGAAAAAGCGGGGAGAGTGTCCTTTCACTTGAGCTTTTGTACGGGAAATTCATGGGCGAGCCTAAAACCTTGTACTGGTGGGAGGGGGAAACCTGGTCTGTTTGGTCCTCTCTGTCGACGGACTCGAAGGAGTGCACAATATTCAGGATGAGAGGAGAGTCCTTGGCCCGGCCCCCGGCCCGGGCTGGCTCCTGCTGCGGGGAATCCTGCCTCTTCAGGAGCCGCGGGGTCCTGGGCAGCGGTGGCTGGACCTCCAGGTACTCCAGGGAGCTGGATGTGACGCAGCCCGTCTTGGTCGCCACGGGCTCGTGGAAAGGGCTTAACCCGCCAGTGGAGTCTACAAAGCAACCAGAAAAGGAACCAGAAGAGCAAATGGCAATCAATGGCGCTACCTTCTCTGCCTCGTGGCAGACAGCATCAGACATCACCTCTAACAAATCTGCATGACAAATGCACCAGCTAAAACAAATGGTCTGAGGGATACACTCAGTGCAGCACCGAAAAACCTGATCCTTCTTTGATACTCACGCTGTTGTTTCATGGGTAATTTATCTGCCACTTTCCTCAAATGCAGGAAGGGCGCTTAAAGTGAGTAAGACAAGGACATGAAAAAGAAAACCACTGATGTCGTCAGCTGTTTGTAATAATTATATCCTCTAAGGCAATGTCTGAGAAATCTCACATTTCTCCCTTGCACTTTTTTAGCTGGGTCTGTGTACTGTATTCACTCACATACCTACAGACATAGGGAACAACAGTGAGTTAATTCCTAATGCCTCTACTTGCATTTTGGAACAAAATCTGTTCTTGGTTTCCCACATGTAAATACGGAGTAACTGCATTGGCCAGACTCAGGCTGTTACAGTTGGAACAGATTTGCTGCACTGACTTCAGCGAGAATCTTCCCCAAGCAAGGACCGAAAATAAATGGAACAATCTTTTCAGGATTTGGCCCAGTAATACAAAACAGCCCATGGAGAAGATCTACTCAGTTTCTACAGAATGTTGGCACTCACGCCAAGCTAGTTGCAAGAAGAAAAAAAAAAAAAAACAACAAAACGCCACATTTTGCTGCGTTTAGGAAAAGCTAGCCAAGGAGTCTGCTTTGCTAGATTCCCCCTGATGGAAAGAATAGCAGACTGGCAGTTCATCACTGTGCATGACTTCTCCCACCCTCACTCTGAGAGAACAGGGGATAGAAAGTTACTGAGGTCTGCAGCCACAAATCTCACGTGTATATCTTTTGAAAGAGATGGTCTTGGCAGAGGTTGATACGTCAATAATGGGTGTATGGGATGAAATCACATGCGTTGAGAGTAGCTTGGGAAAGGCAGACCGGGTTTAATCTGACTAGTCTCTTTCCAAAACTGGTCAAGATTATTTGACTGCTTTAACAAGCATCAAAACACAGTTTCCATAAGCAAAGAAATGCTCTAGTTGAGGTCTGGGTGATTTTCATGTTTCAGTTCAAAAAAGCAGGGAGAAGCCTAGAGAGGAAAAAATATCAACTGCTTATTGCCAGCTGTGCCACGTGCCCAAAAGTAGTGGCAAATTCTGAAAAACAGATTTTTTTACTTTTTTTTTTTTATTATTTTCACAAAAAAAGTATGTCCTATTTGTGACCATCTCTACAGATTGCTGCTGCCTTACAGCAGAGGTGCCCGTGCTGCCAGATGACATTTTGACACTTCACGTTGAAAGCATCAAGTGCTAAGTTATGAAGTTAGGAGAAAGGCCATGAAATCACCCAAATCCAAGGCTCTAAATAACTGCCTGACACCACAATTAACATTTTAAGTTACTGTATTTCTCCATGCTGGTCTTTAGTTACCCTCCCTTGTTCAACAGCCAGCTACGTCACCTTCCTGCTCCCCTCTACGTCCTGCCCACATATGCACTCCTGCAGCCCCATTTTCCCTGCTGACTGCTCTTTTCCCCTCCTCCTTTGTCCTGCCATCCTCAGAGCAGGTCCCACCCAGCACTCCCCAGGCTGCCTCCTTCCCTACATTATTTATGTTTTCTCTTCTACGTCTGTCTCATCTTTTCCTGTTAATGTTTTTCTTCCTCCTTTCACTGCTTGAAATACACAATGGTAGGCAGTGCCTGCCACTTTTCCTCTTGGCTGCCCATCTCCCCTTCCTCCACCATCAGCTGCTGCCACTGCTTCTCAAAGGTGGCCACAGGTACCAGCACTCTCCTCAGGGTCAGCAATTTCATTCTGTGCTGCCCCTTATTCCTCTCCGAGCAAAATGCATTTGTTGGCAGAAAGAAGTTTCCCTATCAGCTTTGGTTTGTCAGTGAGCAGCCCAGCACTAATCTGGGGTGGGTGTTGATGCTTTCAAAGTGCCAATGTGAAGTACAGATGATTTTGTACAAGCACATAAAAATAGGAAAACATTTTTTTTTTTAAATGCAGTGGAAATTCTGTCACATAAAAAGAGAAGTAAAAGTGAGGATTCATGACTGCTGAACATTGTCATGGTTTCCTCAGGATGTTTTGTTCAAAGTTTGACTACATTATTCCATCCCCGTTCACATCACCACCTCCAGAGCAGGCAGCAAACGCAAGCACACGACTATTTACTAACAACCATATGCCACGTAAGACACTCGTATTGGTACAGGCAGACCCATGCAAGCACATTCACGGGAAGGCACATGCGCACAGAGCCACGCTGGTATTTCTCTCACTGACCTTTCTCTGCACCTCCAGCCTTGGTAGCTTTTCGGTCCCTCAGCAGAGCCTTGGTGTTCTGTATCTGTGAGATAAGACAGGAAGAAGGCTGTCTATATGAAACTGGACTTTTCTCAGCTTTCTTTGGGAGCTGACGGTGAAGAATCTCCCCTTTCTTTTCTTGCTCTTTGAGTTTTTTGTCCTTTAGGTTGTAAAACAAACAAGAACAATTTGGTTTACTTCAGGAAGTTTCAATGTCCTACACCCCCCCCGAGTTATAAGCACACCACTCACTGAAGTCATATTGAAAACAATATCTTTACAAGGAACTTGTACAGGTTACTCAAAATAACTGCAGCTTCCACATCACATTTTCCTCTGACCCGTTTGACATGGTGTCAGGGTTCCCATCTGCGCTGACACACAGAGGAAAAGGTGCTTTCAGAAAATTAAGGAAAAAGGACAGCTTTCTGTTCGGAGGTCATTTGTCCTAGGAGACCTCATTCAACCAAGTACATGAGGATTTGTGTTCCTTCAGATCTGAAATTTGCCTGCCCATTTAAACACAGAAAAAGGTCTTTGATTCCTGTTCATTGCACTTCCTCTGATATTTCAAAAGGTGAGCTGCACAGCTTTAAAGAAGTTCAGACTTTCTGAGTCACTCATCTCCTCTCTGGGCAAGACCTTGAGGAACGTGGCCTTTGCTGTGCATCCACAGGCTCTGATTCTACGTGTGTGTTACGCTGTAAGGCAGCAACGAAGTCGGGATTGCAAACATGGAGATCTGAAAACATAATTTTGATGTCCAGTGATGACAGAGGGAAAACTGTACCCATGTTCCAGCTTTTGAAGAGCTGTTTTACAGTAAAAATTCACTGTTTCTTTTCAACAGGAATCACTAGGTTCAGTAAGCTGCATAATACTCCTCACTGGCCACTGATTTCAGAGGCAGCCAACGGTATTATTCTACTTCTAAAACTCAGGCATCCAATTTATGGCTTGTATTTTGCTGTCACTCAAAGACTTCAAGAAATTCCCACTTTTCTTGAACAAACTCGTGTGCTTTTTGGTTTTAGATGTGAATCTCAAAGAAGTGGGGCTTTTATTTTGGTTGCTTTGGGGTTGTTTCTTTAGAGGGGCACCTGTGTGATGCAAGGTGATGTGCATAAATGCAAGAGAGGGAAATAAGGATGTACAAGACATTTTCTTTTTTGTTTGTTTCATCCATTAAACAACTCTGGAAACATGTTAAGACACATAAGGGGAAAATAACTAGGCAGCACCCATTTTGATCACTGCCACATCAGACAGAACTGGGCACTGAGTAGATGGTGTCTGGGCACTGCTGGGCTCATTGATCTTTGAATTTTCGGAAGCTGCTGAGTCAGAAGGAAGAGCTTCAGGAAATCACAAACTAAGACTTTAGTTTTATTACAGAAGCTGTGAAGTGACTGGGGAGAGAGAGAGAACCAGGGATCCTCTGGGAACTCCTCCCTGTCTTCCTCCCCTCCACACCCATTTTTTCCCCAGCCTTCTCTCCATATATCCCTTATTCCCTCCAGTTTGTTTTCCTTTAGCCATCTAAAGCTGGCTAACTCTTCCACAGAAACAAACCAACACTTTTTGGAGCTGTCATCGCTTTCCTTGCGTTATATCTCCTTGTTCACCTGATGTCTTCCCCCTTGCCTTTAGAAAGGGGCTGTAGCCACGTCAGGCACGGAGCATTTATACCTCCCTGCCTGTGCTATGCCTGGAACAATGCAATGTCTGATCAGTCCCAGACGCTATCTTGGCGAGCACAGTCACTATTGATGACAATGAAATAATAACAACAGTAATAACAACAATAGCAGTAATAACAATAATGCTGTGTGAATAACAGACTATAACAATAAAGTCAGTGGGAGCTGTGCATTTAATTCTGAGCCCACCAAACTATTTTTTTCTTTCAAGGCTGTAAAACTCTGCTGCCAAGTCCAGCAGAGACTGGGTTCTACCAACTACCCCTGTCTTTAAAGGTACTTGTGAGGATGAGACCAAGTGGTGACTATATAAAGCCCACAGGAGCCAATCATGATTGTTTAAGGGCTTTTTGCTATTTTGGATAGGTGAGGAAAGAATCTGCATTTTGGCTGCTGCAGCATCTGTCAGAACGCAGGACGTTGCAGCGCTGCGATCATTTTAGGCTAATGGTGCGAGAGCCGAGCCAGAACTCCTCACTGCTCTCCTCTCAAACACGTGCCACGTGCCCCTGGCTTTGCTTTCACACTGCTGTAATGTTTTATAAGCAGCAGTAACACAGTTGTACCGTACAATTAAAGCACCGATGAAAAAGCAAATCCACGCATCCGGCATTAGCAATGAATTACTTTACCCTGGATGAATGTTGTAAATAGCCTTATTTTTAACATTTACCAAGACTGCTTCTCTTTGATGATAGTGGTGGGAGGGGAAACGGCCAAAATCCTAAACTCCCAAGGTGCCGTGTGCTATTATATTTTAAAAAGGAAAGGAAGTGATCCTTCAGGGGAGTTATAAAAGTTCACTCCTCACCGTGCTGTACGCAGCCGTGCAATGGCCTGCTGTTGCACAATGAAAGAGTTGTGCCGGTATGTTATACTTGAATAGGTTCGGCATTACATCAGCCTCTGCTATTTCCTGTCCTGACCTCGACCCTAAAATCTATCCTAGTCCCGGCAACGGACTTGGAAGGAAGATAATGGGTATTTGCCTTGGCTTTGCCTAATATTGTGATAGGACAACGACGCGAGTTCCTATAATTACAAATTCCTCCAGCCTGAGGCCACCAGCTACTCGGAGGGCAACAGAAACCCCCAGTACTGGTCCCCTGGCTTTGCTGCAGGGATGACTGCTCATCACCTGAGCTCTCTGCAACCAAAAAGAGGCAGCCAGACGGCTGTCTCTCTCCATACTCCTACACTGCCCCAGTGCCCTGAGTGCTCAAGTGAAGCCAGCCTGCAAAAACACCCGTCTGCTTAGCCCTGACAGCACGTATCCGCACCCTCAGCCCCAGCACACCACTGCTACCATGCCGATTTGGGAAAAGAGGGTCTGGGCATGTCTGCTGCATGTGTGCTGTGCTGCCTGCCCCAGCCACAGACAGCGCTGCTGGCAGGCAGCCCCCGGCCCCCAGGAAAGTCCTCATTTCACATGGCAGGAGTGAGGTGGGAGAAATTCAGTCGGCTGCTTCTGCTGAACCCGACCACCTCTCTCCATGGCATTTCCATGGCAACACACAGCGATGCTTCCTTTGCATTATCTGCCCAGGGACCAATACCTCCCAGTCCCAGTCTGGAAACAGGGGATGGGTAAGGGGACCCTACCTACAGCCCACAAATTTATCCGAGCTTATGAATTCTGCATCTCGGGGTCCCAAAGGCAACCACTGATCCCAGCAGCACGATTCAGACACTTCCATGGCTGGGTTCCCACCCCCTGAAGGCATTTTTGAAGAAACGTCTCCCACAATTACAAGTGGCAGGAGCATCTCAGGGTCTGTGTTCACCCAAGCGTGCTGTTTTAAATGTCCTGGTACAATCCCCCCATGTAAACACAGCTAAAGCGATATAAACATGCTTTATACTCAGCTATGCCCATGAAGAAAGATATTATACTGTATTATTACCACAGTGTCTGCGCTGCAATTGCTTCAAGATAACTATTTCAGGAAAGAAAGGACACCCCCTCATCCCCTAAATAGCTACACTGGGACTAACTGAACGCAGGAGAGGTTTTGGAGGGAGCCTTTATCCCTAACTGTGCATACAAACAAAACTGGGGTCATACAGTGACACCATCATTAGTTTTCAGTGATCCTTACAGAAGTCAAACATCAGCTCCCTTCCAGGGGTGCAGGGAATACAGGAAGAGCACGAAAACAGAGCATGCAGTTCTCTCCTGGCTATGTGCAGGTGCCCAGGCAAGCCTTGCTGCAGAATTGCCTGTATGTGGCGTGGATGCAGACACAGTGAGCCAGCCATGCAAGTAAACTGCCACAGAGTGTTTTGAAATACAGTATTCATCGAGCCTACCCACTGCTGACACACGTTAAGTGAGGTGGTTCTGATTTATGTAAGGAAAGAATGAGAAGTACTTTGCCCTGATATTTCCATCTGGCTTGCAATTCAGCTTTTCTATGAAATTTGCAAGCAGTCTCTAAAATAAACAAACCCAGCCATAATACAAATCTGTCCCTGCAATTAGATCATCAGTCCAACACTGGAGAGTAGCTTTTGAAACAGGTAAACTCTTCAGGAATACTGCTATTTATGTTGTTAGATAGGACTTGCACAGTTCATGCAACCCTTGTAATTTTAGTGCTTGGCAAAGAAACAGCCAAAGAAGAGAAATCCATACAGAAGAAGCTTCCTATTATCTATTATGGAATCCTCTAATAAATTACTTCCTCTATTGCAGGAAAAAAGACTGGAGACAGACAGAGTGAAGGGTGATTTGGTTAAATCTTTTCTCTGGCCAAGGGAAGTGTGTCACAACACAGTGGGCTAGTTCTGCATCAGTTCTGCTGAGAAGCGAAAATTTTCACCCAGACAGAGTTTTGTACTAATACAGTTTTACATTTTCTAGTAGTCAAGTCAGGACATTGCACTCTGCTGTGCAGATCTATGGCAAGTCACCAGGGAGAGGGAACCCTGGCAGTCACACAGCTCTCTGCCCTGCACCACCAAGGTCTTTAGACTCGAGGCAATGCAGTTAGAGTCTTCTTCAGCAACTTGCACATCATAATGAAACTAAGGTTCTCCCTGAAGAAGTTTGTGTTATTTCGCTAAATAGAGCATTTAGTTTCCTCATGAAAGCTGAAAGTTGTCTTTAAACTTCGCCCTAAGGGGCTGCTATTTGTTCCTTCAAAAAGAAATTGAGAGAATTGCCCTGTGCAGCCAAGACCGCTCATCTTTTTTTCTTCACAGCTCCAGAAATTCATTGTCTTAATCCCAACAGCTGGGGATCCTCAAACTCAGCCTGCTTTCAAAGTACCTTAAGAAGCTTTAATGAGCTTTACCTCATAGGAGTCTTTATTTGCCTTGTACTTTTCTATCTGGTATAGCTGGTTCTTGTGGCAAATGTTGTCCTGGCCTTCAGACTTCTGTGGAGAGAGAAGCACGGAAAATCAAAGTATATAAGATAATTAGAGAAAGCTAATGTTTAGCTACTGCTTAATGGACCATATCCACTCTTGGCGTTCAGCAGAGTCTCATCAGCTTACGGATGTGGTGAATTTGGTCCATTACATTTTAAATATCATTGACGGCATCATCGTTAAAACACGCTTGCTAAAAGAACTGAGAAGAGAAAAACTAAGGTGCTGTTGGGGATAATTTCTCAAAGAAACAAACGTTAAAAATAAAACTCCATACACAGAATTATAGAATGCGTTGAGTTGGAAGGGACCTTAAAGATCATCTAATTCCAACCCCTTCTAATAGACCAGGTTGCTCAAACAAAATACAGCCCACCCTACTGACTACGCAACTCATTCAGGAGCCTACAGACTCTTAACTTTTTAAGACTCCTCGCCAGACCACAGATAGTTGTGTGGAGAGATAGCCATGGGAAGAAAGACTGCAGCTTGCCTTGGTGCTCTTTGCCCATCCTAACAAATGGGCACCCAGCTACGTGAGCTGGACAGTTGTGCAGCACTAGCACTGTCACTGGATTTTAAGGAGAGCAGCACTAAAGAAGAGAAAAAATGACCTGGGAGAATGTTTGCAAAGTCAAGCATACCAAGCAAACTGCATACCACGCTAGGCACAGCCTGCACAACAGCCTACCTTGGGGTGGCAACTGTACCATTAGTTTTCTATGGAAAGATCTTCAAAAACATGGAATCGTGAGACATCAAGCCTATAAGCAATTACCTCAGCAGCTTGGGGAATTATCATTGGAAATAATGCTTTTAGTATGAAGGAATAAAAATGCAGGCAATACCTTGAGATCAAATACCAGAGAGCAGGGAATCTTTAAGCACTTTTTTACCCTCTCACCTGCTTGGCCAAAGAATCAACACCAAGCAGAACTTACCCTGAGGCTTGCCAAATAGCGCTCCAGCTTCTTATTAAGCAGAAAGTAGATGGCAAGCGTGTGACTTGCCCTGTTTGAGAGCACAGTGTTGATGACATCGCTGTTCTTGTAGCCGAGCTTCTCAGTCATATGGAGCAGCACACTTTGACTGAGGTCCTCCAGGTGGATTCTGCAGAAAGAGGGGAAGCACATTGCTTGCACTGTCCTCCCAGTGACAGAGCCTTGATAGCAAGGGCAGAGAAGAAACCTGAAAGGCTCAGATACATGGCTGTGATGAGAAAGGCAGACTACTTGGGAACCACGTGCACGCTGTGGTAGCTGAACAAACCAAGCCAAAGTGACCTCACATCCAACCGTGAAATGAAATGGCACCACGATGCCCAGGATGTCTCCGTTTGTCACCCTAGATCTGACCAGTGAAGACTGTCAAGATCATTCACCTGGTTTTGAAGGAAAAGATGTAAAATCCAACTTAGGTGGCTACCTTTTCCTTTCTGAAACACCTCTTTAAAAGACACCGCAGTGTTCAGCTTCACCCCTCACCTTTTGCACAATATTTATGCACTAGGTAGCTAAAGCATTTCGCCCCAGAGAAAGGTGACACACAGGGAGGGTTATTACAGCAGCTGCCAAAATGGTAAAACTGCTGCTATACTCGTATTGGTTAGAAGCAGAAATACAACATGAGTTTATGGATGTTCTTTTCTGTAAAGTCCGTAATAGACTTAGCCAAGGTGAGAAGTGCAGTACAGCAGGCTGTGGAAATAGCAAAGCACTTTCACAGTGTAAGTTAAAAACAATTTTTCCAAAGAACTCTGCTCCTGTTTAGACATCTAAATATGCTGGCCAGATTCCCAGATGTACCTGTCAACTCCCATCCATCTCCAAAGAAATGCTGGATTTTGTCTGCTTTCTAAAGGATATTCTTTGCTCCCAGTATCAAGCCTAATATTTGGCTAAGGCAACTAACAGAAGCTTAGGTTATGAGCTTTTTTACAACCTACTTTCCCCCCTCAAAAGGATAATTCTCTACCTTTCTCACCCCTGCTCTCCTATACCACTGTCCTGTACACCTGAGAGCAGTCTGGATCTGACATAAGGACTTAGACAAGATGAAAAACAGAGTCTGGAAAATCTCAACTGTTTTCCTTTATTCAGCATGCTAATGAAGATTCATTCTGCAGTTAAAAAAAAAAAAAAAAAGCTTGAGTGTTGTGGGTTTTTTTAAGTTCATAAGCAAAACTTATCTTAGCCATTGCACATTAAGGCATTTGGATGGCAAAAGGAATTCAAGCAGTTTCTACTTGAAGTGCATAGCAAAATGGGAAATATTTCCTTGCCTCTTTAACAAAAACAAGCTCATAAAAAACCCTGAGAAATTATTCGTCTGAAAATGTATTTTCTGCTGTTCTTCTACCTTATCTTCATGTTCTCCCCTTTCCTACAATGTTGCTGCCTTGGAAACAATGGAGGTTACCTTAAAATGGTAGAAGAGAACTGCAAGAACAGAACAGTTTCTTGTTTGTGCTATAAAAAGCATGATTAAGAAAGAAAGTGATTCCTAGCATATTTGGTAGTTGATTTTTCAGAACAGATAATATCTTACCCACATTTGCACACTAACAGAAACTTGAAGAAACCCTATTGAAGCTGACTCTAGAGGTTCTTTTGGAGGCAATCAAAAGGAGGCAAATCATGTCTTTTAAATATTTCAAACTTTACAGCATTTTCCCAATAAGGCTTTAGTAAAGCTCTACAAATTCTAGGAAGGTCAAGCTTTGGGCATAAACTAATTAAGCTAATTATTTAATTTTTTTGAATCAAATTAAAAATAAAGAAATAATATTAAAAAAAAAAAGACAGAATCATGATAGCTTTTATCCTTTACAGGTTCACTGACTTCATCATAAAACCTGTGTTCTGAAAGAAGTAGTTATTTTTCTCTTATTTTCAAATAGAAAAGATAAGAAAAAATACGCAATGAGAAAAAAAAATGTAGCTGATTTATTTAATAGCAAAGGGTATCTCTTCACATTGATACTCCCTTTAAAAGTGCTTACAATAAGTAAGGATTATGATCATCACTGTATCCACATATATTTATGAGCAAACATATGCTCTCTCTATAGTTCAGTATTGCATTTTCTTCCATTCTTACATTTCATTTGCCTGCTGTTAGGAGGGGATGATTAATGGGCACTCCATGAACAGCACTGCACACTAATAGAGGTTGGCCTCTCTCCTAAGTCTCCGACCTAATTGGACTAGAGAGCAAGCTCTAAAGTGACACCTCCACCACAGCCTGTCTAAGGGCTGATAATTTCAAGCTAACCAAGTCATGAAACCAAGGCATGAAAATGTACCTACAAACTCAAAAGATTTCTGAAATCACATTTAAGCCATATTTCTTTTTTTTCCTCTTCTGCAGATAAGACACATGCAGCAAGAGAATTAAATCACCCATACAGCTCTCAGTTACACTTACATTCACTTAACAGATGCCACGTTTAGCAGATTGATTAGGCTCATTATGACAGTGATTTCATTAGCTTAACGACTCATTCAGTTTACACTTGTTTTCCCTTTCTTTACCATACAATGTTCATATGTACAGTGCACTTCGGTACAGTCCAAAGCACCATGGAAACTCAGATTTCCTTTTGTTGCACAGCACACTACTCAAATTAACTCAATTGCCCTTAAATTTCAGGCAGTAATGTTGAGATAATGAGTCTGTCTGTTCTCTATCTTATTCCCTGCAAAACAATCATTCTTACGGGCCATTTTTATACTCTGTCCACGTAGATCTGAGGATCGCATGCAGCCAGCCTCACAATTGCTTCAGCGGATGGCTCTAGTGATGGCACCCGTTGGAGAACAACCATCCAAGCTGCTCAACAACTATCCAGCCATATTTTGAGAGTGAGAGACATTATTGTCCTCAGGCCAAAGAAATGCATAGTTGAAGCAATTCTCCACAAAGCAATACTTAAAACGCTAACTCAGGAAGGGAAATGCCTGCTGTTAAATGAGGGCACCTCAGCTCCATATACATATAGAGGGCACATGGGTAGCAGACAGGACTGTGACCTATAAGCCAGCTGACAGCAACATTGAAAAGAAAAGTCTCCAAAAATTCATGAAGGCTGTCGTGAGTTTTGGGACCCAATTTGATCTCCTGAGCTCAGTTGTGAGCAGTATCAAGCGCTTCAGCAGTAAGAGATTGGCACTGTAGGTGCCTGTCAACCCCACAAGGTTTGGACCTACATCTATTCGCCTGACTAGCAGGTGACCAGAGGGGAGGGCAGGTGGGGAGGCAGTTTTGTGGCCTCAAGTGAATGCTCAAGTGAATGCTCTGTTTGCATGGTCTGAGCTTGCCTAGGCACTGAGACTGTCAAGGCACTAACACAAAGAGGTGGCCTAGTTGATGAACATGAAATCATGTTGGGTAGAGGACAATGGTTCAGGCATTCAGACAAAGAGAGGTTGTCACACCCCTAGGTGTATGCTACATCAGGTACCTGGCACTTGAACAAACTGTGGAGTAGAAGTTAGGCTCTTCTCTTAGGGACTTGGCTCTTAGTGAGTTAAGAATGAAATTTTGGGGCACTATCAAATTTTAAGCATCAAAATCAAGCTTTAAGTTGCTGTCTTTGCCTCAGCACTGCTTTGGATCTTTGTCTGAGAGCTAGTAACTACTACAAGGAATCCTCCGCAGGTAATAGATTGTGTGTGCTGAAGGGCTTTGATGCAGGGAGGAAGTTTTGTCTGATCAAATATAGACATATATTTCTAAGTGAGTTGCCTGAGGCTCTATTTACATTCATGGGAGAGAAACTCAGATCTCCTGGGCACAATGTCATCCTACTACAGAATCAAAAAGAAGTCAGATGAATCATTCTGTAAACTGTGCCCTTATTTCTCTCCATTGACTGTAATGAGAGCCCATGTGAAGACTCTATACTGAGGGGTGTTGAAAGTCAAGCAAGATTATTTCTAACCAAAGTGGACCAGAAGTATTTTTCTTTCTTTGTTTCTTTTTTCCTTTTTTTTTTCTTTTTTTCTTTAGACTGATATCTGACTAACCATGAGATTTGTTACCTGTTTGCATGTAGTCACGCATTTAGCGTTGCACAGGTATTCAAGATCAACAACCAACAAATGAAGGTCATTGAACTCTGATCATTCTCACTACTGTTTGCATATTTACCTAATCCACGGAACCTGCCATATGTATCACGAATAGGTATAGCCTCTACTGGAAAAGTAGTATGGGTCTACTGACAAACAAGGAGAAGATCAGAACTGATAAACTATCTTCACAAACATCTATTCTAAGGCCTGCAGCCAATTAATCACCTGATCTGTACCCTGGACCACCCCCCAAATGCATCATATGCCAGCTTCTGATTTAAGGTTTGTTTTTGGTCATTTCAGGAAACACATATTCAATGGCCAATCCAAAAAAAAAAACAGCTTTAAGGATTGAGTCAGAAAAGCAATCCCAAAAAATGCAGTGGGACACTGTCACACAAATAATGAAACTGTTCACATTTTAACATCAGTACACACTGGCTGTTTTTTTCTGCTCTTTCACACAGTACCTGTTTGGATATGTTACATTAGGTGGTGCTCTCCCAGGGTAATTCTCATTAAGCCACCGATTTGCAAGTGCCTGCTGGATGTTTGGTCTCTTTGCAGGATCTGGCTCTAGCAGAGATCGTAGAAAGTTTACGGCCGCTGTGAAGAAATCAAGAAAAAACAAGAGCTATGTCATATACTTTATGACTTAACACAGTAGTTGAGATGTTATGCTGTGTAGCCTGACCCCAGAATATACTAAAAATCAACTTTTTCCTTCTAGTATGCTCAAATGTCCTTGAGAAAAAGGAAAGCCTGATAAGAGATTAGTAACTAAAATAAACGAAGATTTATAGAGTCATAAAGGAGAGGAGAAAAAGAACTTTTTGTTTCAGAGCTTGTTTGAAGTTTCTGAGTATGCTAGTCAAAGTTTTTGTCTGAGGACAGGAGACTGGAGTGAGATTAGAGGGAAATCACTCATACTCTGTTTAGAGTAGAAAGAGAGTGACTGGGAGTGAGTGGAGGGGAGGGAAGGGACGAAGAGCTGGGAGGGAAGACATGGAGAATTGGGTTTTCTGCCCCCATTGACATGGGGAGAAATCCTGTTACAATTTCCATCTAAACTACAGTCAGTTGCAGGAGATTTTAGCAAAATTAAAAGAGTACAGTAAAATTAATGGACTTTATTCTGTTTTCAAATACCATAGCTTCAACTTTCAATGACATTCCACGACACCTTGGGATTTTCTTACGACAGGCCTCAAAAGTAATTTTCCAATATTTGTAAACAATGTGCTTCTTATATGGTTATGGACAATGAAATCAAGAGATTTGCTAAAAGACTCACAAGAAGTGAATATCTGAGCTGAAAATAATCTCTATGTTAAATATTCCTGGTCTTTACTCCTTAAATTATCAAGGTTAGATTTAGTTTATTAGCTACAAAACAATAAAGAGTTAACTATATCCTCTATCATTCTCTAAACAAAAGACAAAGAAACCTAATTCTGGGAAAACCAAAACCAGAATGAAACAGTCCAATGGAGATGCTGAGTGCACCCTGAACAAAGTCAATGGCAAACAAAGGACACAAGTGATGGCTTCCAGCAGTTTTCTCCAACTCATACGGATGGCATCTTAGAGGCTTTTTTCCACCTCATTCTGCAGTAGAGCTGCAGCTTCCCTCCCAGACTCTCTTGAGCGTGTCTTATCTACTTATTTCCAGACCTTGGAGAGACCTTGTATGGAGACCTTGGGCAGTAGCAGCACAGGACCACTGCTATGCTTTGCCTGAGGCTTGGTAGGGTTTCTGAGGACTGAAAAATTTAACCCTACTTCAAGTCTTTGGATTTAACAACAGTGTTTTAGATTAAATAGAGTCTTGTGTTATGTAAAAGTTTTGCCAGAACTGCCTTGCTGATTAGGTATATGAAATGCACTGCTCCTCTCACGGACAGAGCCTCTGCACAGACACAGCACCGCTGCCTTTTAAGAATAAAATTCTTTTCTATGAGACTTCTTCATGTTTGCCTGGTTGTCTACCCAAGCATTCTCAGGTCTCCAAGCCCACCCGCAACAAGGGACAGGCTGGATGGGCTGGTGTGCCAGAGCAGAGCAGCAGGAGAGGAAGGGAAGGTTTCTCATCAAATAAATCAAAGTTAGACGTGATAGGTGTTGACTCCTAGCAGCTTGGGTAACCTCTGTGTTCACCATCCTGCAACCATCAAACATCAGCCAGGGAAGGCCCTTAGAGGATATCTGTTTCAGTGCAGGCCTAGTGTTGAGAAGTTTATATTTGGAAGAGAGAGAGTTATGATTATGTATTTACCAGTTCAGCTAGGCACGAGCTCATTTTTTTTTCTAAGCTCTGTCTTCACAAATAGCTGATTTATGTGAGGTACTTCACTTTAAATCTTTCCCAACATTTTTGTTATTTTCCTATGACAGCAATATTGTGGAAACAGCAGGAAGAAACTACATCCAAGTTCATAAATCTCCTGGAAGCCGATGTTAGGACTGCTCCCTGCGTACCCTGAAAGCCCGCACGTCAACACATCTTGGGCGCAGACCCCTGTTATGGGAAACAATCGCCCCATTGTTCTGCCATTTGAGTTCCTCTCTTCCCAGTACTGCCCCGTTAGGAGCCGCATGCATCCCACGGGCTCAGAGCATGCTTCTCAGTGCAAAGCAATCCCTCCCCAAACTGACTGCCAACGCCCTCAGCCCCCAAATCAGCCAACGGCTCCTTAAAAACCTTGATTTTTTTTTCCCCCTTGTCAAAAGACAAAGTAAATGAGGTTTGTGAAGCATTACAAAGTGCAGCAGATTCAGAGCAGAGAAACTGATTCCAGAGAGGGGAGCCCTCCAGGGAGATTCCCTCACCAGCCAGTCCCAGGTGATGCAGTAGGGATTTTTAACAGCACCTTTGCTCACCTGAGCTGTTAGATGGTGTGAGGAAGACTGGGTCTTTTTCAGTTAGCCATGCAGCTGTAGGACAGCTAAATTAGTCCCCCAGGAAACAAACACGAAGATAATGAATCGATTTTTGGACCCACTGCATCTGAAGCCGCTTTTCATGCTGAACCAAGTAGCTTCATGAACAAAGGACACTGTGAATTATCCCTCCAAAGCTTCATTATGTGAGGGAATGTGAGGGCCTCATTTACAACGAACTCGAGGACAGCACTAATCTGATTAGCCAGTGACCTGCACTTGATGGAATTTTGTTTCCATGGTGTAACTTTGGGGCAAAGTTTGCTCTTTTGACAAATGACAGACCAGGACCATGAGAAAAACAACTCTCCCTTTAAACTTCCTTTAGTGTATTGAGTTCAGTAATGAACGGAAACACAGAGTGCTTCAGGTATGAACTACGAGACCTCTGCTACTTTCATTTGCTTTGACATGAACGAAACCAGCTTAGTGTCTTGTTTAGAGAATGCCATGCTTTGAGTGGGCCCTGGTTAAAATAGGTATACAGGTGCTGCTTACAAAACTGGCCAGACAGAATGAAATAAGGTCATTTCACTTCACAAAGCCGTAAGTAAGCTCAGAACTACAGATGTGGGCAGATGATTGCTTGCTGTTCTTAAGAATTTACACAGACCTCGGCTTGACAACACTGCCTCTTTACTCCTGACAGTGGTAACATCTAGCTGAGGTGCAGTAACTTCCCAGGACTGACTTGATCACTGGTTTGCAATTAATCTGTACTTCACAGAGGAAATATAAGTCATCAGATGATCCACATATTCCTGGAGTTTAAATGATCGACTTCTGAATGCTCGTAAAGAGTGACACTTCATTTCTGCTCCAAAAGCATGGAATACGTGGCAACATGTGCAGTAGTTAGTGTCTGATAGGCTTTAAAAAGGGAATCACAAGAAAGTAACATCAGTTGATGCTACCTTTTAGACTCTCAGCTATGAAAGACATGGGTTTCTGTAACAAAAAAAAGACATCAACCATGCAGAAAACTTATCAAGTAAAGGAGCTGAGGATCTAAAAAAAAACCTTTTTTTAGAGAGATTCTTCTAATCTCCACAGCACTTCTCTGTTCCAAAAGGAAGACCATAAACACACAGAAGCAGTACATTGAGAAAAAAAATAATGTGTGCAAGGTGAATACCAACTTCCTTAACAACTGAACTCAGCTCACGTAAAATCAATAATCAGATAGCTGTGTTGTTTATGCAGCTTAATGAAAAACAGTTTCCTAAGTGGGAAAATCAAATACTAACCCCAAATTTTCCCTGTTGCTACACAGTTGCTTTGGGTGTCCATGGTCACACAAAACTGTAACTAATACAAATAAAATATACTCTTGTTTAGTGATAAGAATAGCTATTTTTACAACAAACCCTGTATTCAGTAGCTGTGAAATTAAATGTTGAAAGAGAACATAATGAACAAGCAAAACAGACTACTGCAAAAAATCTCTTCTGCGATCTCTGTGAATTAACAGAAAAAGAAAACCTGATTTAAGAAAAAGATCCGTATGCCTAAGGAGTTAACTAATGAAACAATTTTCAGGGCAGAGGAGATTTTCTACCTACTGACCCAAAGCCTAGGTGTGTCAAGAACAAATGTCATCTTAAATCACAGCTTGCCATGTTGGTGAATGTGCAAGCCTGTTGACTTAAACCAAGAACCGATGCATGCCTTTTTCACAGTGAGTAAAGGTTAACATGTTTAAATCTATCCCATTAATTTTCCATCATCTCTGAAAGTTCAAGCTGCTGTTGTTGTCACAGGATAAACAAAATATTGTTTTCACAGGAGACCATATTGTTAGTGAGCCACAAATTCTACAAAGACATGACTGTTAGAAAATTTGATCTCCACGATAAAATTTTAGGATGACTGAAACAGTAAAATGAAGCCTGTCAAAAATAATGTTATCTTTTTTGCTACACAAAGTCTGGTCTTCCACAGGCCTTTCATGGGTGATTCAGACTTTAACACAGGAGTTGTCCCCGTAAAGTCAGTGAAACCTCCCACGTAAAAAATGACTGTGGTTGAAATAAAATGATTGGGGAAACAGTACATTGTATCAAAGTGACTGTATAGTCATGATACAACAGATAGTTTTTGGTAAAAGTCTCACTGTGGGAGGTCCATTTGGTAAAATATTTGGCAAACTTGGCAAATCTTTACTACTATATCCAAGTCCCTGAATTCAAGAGTAACTTTGCAATTGATGTAGGATTTGGCTTCCAGATCAATACAATATGAAGCAGTCATCTGCTTTATACAGTATAATCCGTCTTTTAATTTACTCAGTGGGGCTTTAGAACATGTGCTAGAACATTAAAATAGCAATTTTGTGCAACTGAATCCTACAGGGGAGTCCTCAGAATGGAAATACCAAACACTCTAACTGCATCAAATACATGGCAAGACTTGAAGCATCCCAGCTCACTTGTAAAGCTACCACTTTACAACATGGCAGCAACATTAGCTGCTGGCAGAAAATACGTACTTAATACAGATGCTGAGCAAATGAGAAACAACATACACCACTTGCTTCACAGATAAACCATGTGAGAAAATCCTTAACTATCTACTTCTTCTACATGCCGGGAAATCTGTCCTTGGAGAATTCATCTTGCGACACAACTTTCAAAGTTTTTTTTCTTACACCCCATGGCAATGGTTTGCCATTATTAGTGATCTAAGTGAAAGTGTATGATCTTTCAAATTTTTCGTATTTGCAGTATTTTAAACCTATTGAATGTCCCTTGCAAACTGTCTGCAGATAAGAACAGAAGCTCTCCATGAGCATCAAATTTAGCATACAAAAATAAAACCTAAGTACAAAACATAGTTTGTTCCAAATGCTGACACAGTCTTGCTATAAGCTGAAACATGATTCTGTTGCCTAGTGACATGGCTTTGAAGAAGGAATTAATATTTCTAATATTAATGCAATGACAATTTTGCATTTTCTGAACACACGAAGGTTATCACAGGCTACTGCCCCAAAATAACTTTCTGAGTGCATGTCATTATTCCATGATGAATGTGAGGTCATTCAAGGTAGCTTATCACTCAACCTTAATCATGATAATGCCCAGGAACGTGTTATTCCAAAATAATGAGTTCATGCATCCATACCCTACACTAAAATCATCCGACCACGCAAAACTGACCAGCTATTTTCTGAAAGCAATTTCACAGATTTTCACAGATTTGTTCCTCTCATATTCAGTACAACTTGGCACTTCTCCAGCTTACATACAAAAGTCAAAACAAAAGGAGTTATACTACACCAATACCCGCAGATCTTTTGGAGAACAAAATGAAAAAGAACATTTTTCACGATTAGTGTGCCATGCTGGTAGCATGACTCACAATCAAGAATTCAATGCAATGGTTCCAACCAACTGGATCTGAATAGGTCCAAGCATATTCCTTTGATTACCTGTAGAGAGCTGGGTGGGAAAAGGGTTCATTTCTTTGTCCACCATTTTCTGGTATAAAGCTCTCAAGCTGAATGGCTCCACAGTAAAAGGTAATGTTCCAGTCAACATCGCATACATGTTTACCCCACTAAAAGAAAACATACAATAAAAGAAACCAAAATGATCAGGAACAAGGAAAAACTTAGTTTGAGGTTTTAGTGACTGTACTTTGTTTTAAATGCCTAACAACTACTAAACAGGATGGAAAATGTTCTCCTTCTGTTGCACACAATGATTTGGGCAAGAGTTTACAGAGGTTTGCTCATGGAGGGTCGCACAATGTGTAAGACATAAGCTGGGAGTCACAGAACCGAGTCCAGCTGTTAGGCAAGTTCTCAGCTAAATGCCAGTCCACAATTATGTCTCTCCTCAGGCTGCATAAATACTTAAAGTGCTTTCAGGAGCCTTATACCGCTGCTGCCCTGGGTGTGGTGTGACTGCCCATGTCCATGGGTACATCGCAAGTCCTGGCTTGATACCGAAAGGCTTCCACTGGCCTCTGGTGCAGCACAAAGATCAGGTGTGAACAATTAAATTTTTCATAGCAGAAAACTTATTGCTTATTTTTACCCAACAGAGTCAGTGATGAAAAGTGGGTTGGGTACTCTTGTTCTTCTCTCCCACAAAAGGACTTTAAATTCAAGTGAGTGGAATTCCTTCCTTTTGGGAATTTGTTTCCCCAGTCTGCTGAATAAACGTATGTGAACAGAAAGAATCTAAACCATTGTGCTATTACGAACCATGATCACAGCAAGCATTTGTTCAGCTACAAGGAAGGGTAGGGTTAACTGTATTTTTCTTTCTTACATAAAAAAAAAAAAAGCAGGATATTATTACTGGAGAAGTTTAAATGGTTTACAGGAATGACTGTGCTCTGTTTGTCTGCATTCCAGTCCCAGTAAGAGTGCCTGCATTCCTCAGGGCTGATAATCTCCCCCTTGATGTGGAGGGATGGCCCACTGCTGGAGTGAGAAGTGAAGTAGCCATGTGATGGGTGAGGTGCAGGTCTCCTGGAGCACAGACTGCAGATCAAGAGTATTATGGTGTCACAGGGTGCTGACCAGATCAGCCTGAGAGATGAAGTTGACGCAGGTCCTGGTCTCACATGTAAACTATGGCCAACCTTTCTTAGCAGTAGTAGCACTTATACAGCACTTTATGCTTTCAGAGTATTCCAAATACTTCAACTAGGGAACCACTACAATCTATTACTTCATTTAAATTGATTTGTGTTTTACTATCCCCAGTTCACTGGTGAGGGAAAATATTCAGATCCTAATACAAAAGCTAAAACTCAGCTAATCTCACCTAATTCCTCTCTGGGAGAGACAATAACTGACACCACGGCCATGGCCAACAGTAGGGTAGTGGGAATTACACAGTCTAAAAAAGTACCGCAGATAAATTCATTGACTCCTGAACACCTTTATAGCTTTCTCTATCTCTGGCACAGGTAATTTTTGCCTCTTCTTTTGCCTGAATGTTACTAAGTGCTCAGGCTCATAGAATTTCTGGCCATGTCTTCTTCCCTTTTAACTACTGTGCTTTCAAAGGGATGACCTGACTAGATTTCACATTTCCTGCTAGATGTGACTGTGGATAATGCATGGAGACCATGTGAAAGTTTGAAGATCCTTTGGGGAAAACAGAACACAATGTTGGTCCTCTTGTGCCAGAGCCACGTTTTCTACTGTGCCTCAAAGTCATTGATGAAGCTGTACTTTACTGCAGCTTTGCCATGCTATGTGTTCTACCAATCTACGTACAGCTCTATTTCAAATCAAAATATGGGTGCAATTTAGTTCACAGAGTCATGCTAATTAAACAGATTTTCTTGCTTATTTCTCATTTGAGCAATGGGTAATGATGACAAGTAACAACAATTATAAGCTAGAGAAGTAACTCACATGGACCAAACGTCTATTTTGGGCCCGTATTTTTTCCTTGCCAGAAGTTCAGGGGCTGCATATGCTGGGCTCCCACACTGGGTGCTGAATGGATCAGAATAACCCAAGATGCCTGCACAGTTGCTCAGTCCAAAGTCTGTGAAAAGCATAGAGACAGAGTTATGAAAGAGATAGATACAGTAAAAAAGCGCTAAAACAGCAAGGAAAAAAGTACTTTTTTTTTTTTTTTCAAAAGCTAAGCAACGAACTGTCTAAGAAAAAATCATTCACATGAAAAATTTTTACAATTTGTGCTAAATAAAAAGAGATTTCAACAAGCAATAAAAATCATCTTAGAACACACGTGATCATCAGTTTCACAGACAAAGCAATTATGTTTCACTGGGAAATGGATGGCAGCAACTGGAGCTGAGTTTGCCTCATGCCCTCACCGCATGATGGGCATGGGGCAGAAAGCAGCCTCGGGTTGTCATGGGTTCCATACTGGTACTAAGAGGCCAAGCATTGCTTCTTCATTTTTTTCCTTTAAATCTGTTAAAGGAGCCATCAGATTTATGGCAGGGAGGTTGCTTTCTTGGGACTACTGTGGTGATTCACAAACACATGGGGTTGCAGAGTCGGCGTTTCAGCTCTGAAGCAACACAAGGGAGATCTTGGAGCAAGAAGGGGAATGTGTTGATTTGGCTCTCCCTCCCCCTCTTCTGTCTTGAATTATTGTATTTCTGGCCCCTGGGTGTATCTGATGTTCTCTGCTGGCAGTAATAGCAAGAGACTGGCAAAGGCTGGCATCATGAACCGATCAGGAACAAGACGCAGTCTCTCCGCACCAGAGGAGGCTGCAGTTTCACAAGTGCTCTCAGCCAACCCAAGCCCAGGCTGGCGCCAAGAAGGGAGCTCTCCCAACCTCCTTCGTCTGCTCCAGCACTGGTATGGCTGCAGGGTGAGCTGTGTTTAAGAAAGGATCTTAAAAATTAAACCACTCAGCAAGGAAAGAGATTTGCAGAGAGCAGCTGTGGAACGGGCCTGCAGCTTGGTCACGCCAGCCGCAGAAGAGGCTGGGGGCAATGTGCTGGCAGGGGCGTGCAAGCCCACTCTGTCTAGTGGTAGCCCACAATTATGAAACTACAGCCTCGGAGATGACAAGGGAAGGTGAGGAGAGGTTGCAGAGGGTCTTGAGAGAAGGCAGCAACTTGACATGATAAAGGGGAAGAAGTGAGGCAAACTGGCAAGGAAGGGGAGGATGCAGGCAAAGCTGACAGGCTGGGAAGTCTGCCTTTGCAGCAGGGCATCATATCCAGGAGCAGAGGATCTACAGAGGTCACAATAAAAGATGTTCACGTTTATTAATAGCCTCCCATTGATGACAGCTTCAACAGAAATACTGGTATTAAGAACTGACATCTGTTCATCTCCTTTTTCATTCATCCTCTCTTCTTAAAAATTCCCCAAATGTAGGTGTGTTTAAAATGAAAAGTGTCTTATACATAAACAATGCAGTCCGGAGAAGCAGACCATTGAATCCTGTTCCTAGAGACTCGTGTCTTTTATCCACGTGTCTCATAAAACAGCCTTCTGTGTGTGCTACCCACCTGCCCAGCTGGGCTAAAAGCATTACATCTTGGAGGCCAAATATAACAGGCTACTGCTGAGCCCATGCCACCCTCCACAGTCACTGGTTAGAGTCTCTCTCCCTTATCTGCCTACATATTTGCATGAGACTTGAAGTAACGACCTGTCAGCCTGTCCTTTAGGATTCACCCTATGCCAAATGTGGCTAAAATTAGAGAAGAGTCCCTCAAGATATTAAAAGCACCCTGCTGGGGTGTTCACATAAGCCTTGTTCCCTTATGAAACTGGGCTAAAAATGAATAATGTTTACCAAAAAAAAAAAGTACAAAAATGACTATGTGGGTTGGAGTGTCCAAATGACTGCAGAGTGCTTGCTGCTTGCCTGGCTGGCTCTCTGTGAGGGAGGCAAGCCCAGCACCACCACATTTAAACAGCCAAAGAGGCTCAGAGGGGTTTGTTGGAGAGCACTGTAAAAACTGTAGGGAGGATCAAGGCAATTTCCTTGCCTCTGATGGAAAACAATTGTCTCTGGACACTGCTTAATCGTCTCTGCTAGATATGTATTATCCCTGGGGCTTATACAAATACTTCTGAGGATCCATTTACTTAATTAATTTATTTATTATCTACGGCCTGAGATGGGTTATGTCAGCTGTAAAATACTTTTTAAAACTAGAAATAATACCTCTGCAGGGTATTACTCATGGTCTTTACCCTACTGTGACATAACACCTCAAAATTACTTGACTGTAACATAATGCTTCACACTCAAAATAAATAATGGCTATATTCTGACCCAGTATAAACCAGCATCTGTTTATCATTATCAACGGAGGTATCCTCCAGTGAAAGTTTTCGCTATCTTATTTACTTAAACTATAAACATCTCATTGACTTTTTCTCAGCTCATTCATTACAACCAGGCTGGTATACTTTTCTTTTTCTTTTTTTTTTTTTTTTTTTTTTGCTAGTTCCTGTTGAAATTAAAAATGTCTGCAAATGCCTGCATACTGGGGACGGGGATTTTATTGCAAAAGAAATGGAAATATTGTTATGAATAGTGTGGCAGCACATCGTGATCGCAGGGTCATTTGTAGTAAGGATGCGTTTTTATCTTGGTAAGAATGGTATTACCACCAGCATTGATAATTTTACTGCCATTCCTGTCTCTTTCTTGGGCTTTTTTCAATAAGCCTAGCTAATTACAGAATTCAGATCAAAGGCCACACTTGGTTTTCCAGAGTAAATATTATGACATGGGAGCTCCACCACCCCCACTCTTCATACTATCGAAGTATCGCATTGCACTACTACTTTTCAACGCCTCCAGGAAATCAACATTAAGCTATGGATACATGGCTATCTCTGAAGCTGTGACAGTTGGATTATGGAAAAAGGTATTTAACAGCACAAGCCTTAGAATAAAGTGAGAGATCATGGACAAGGTTGACCTTTGTCTGCAGAAGCAGAGCTTCACAGACCTCAGTAGAGCTACTTATGGGCAGGGTCCTTTAGGTGCTGTAGGTCCTTGAGCAGAGTGCCAAGGACTTTGCATGGTCTGTGAGTGGCCTTTTGTGGCATCTTTATCAGACACCTACCACCATGGGCTTGTAGATAAAGGGAAGTGAATTACTTCCAGCATTGCTGATCCTGATGTTCCTTGATTTGAGACTTACCAAGCAGCTAGCAGCAAGTCCACTTAACACAGCAAATGGAATTTTTCTAATAATACTATCTAAGCACATATTCTAAACCATCTTATCACGTAGCTAAAAAGAGTAACAAAAAGCAAGGTGTCACTTAACAGCTGTGTGAAGAAAGGGATTCGAGGGATTCGTCTCTCACTGAAATGCATGAGCGAGCAGGGACTGTCAGTGTCACTTTATGCTACATTTTTCATCTTTCATTCATCTCTTCTGTTTCCCTTGTGTGTGTGTTTTTTTTTCCTATTTTTTATATTACACAGCTATTACAAGAGCAACATTTTCAGTAGATACTGGAGTGTTTGCTGCTGCACAAAACCTGGAGACTAAGCTGCTACTGCAAAGCAGTTAATGTCATCTGGTTTTGTAGCTCAAAGTCTCTTCTTGAAAGCATGACAAGCAGCACATAATTCCTCTAAACATACTCTTCTCTAGTGAAGAACCTTCCTGGGCAGCACTACATGACAACACAATTGATTCATCACATTTCTAGAAAGATAGACTACATAAAATATTTGACTGAATGTGGAACAAGATGAGTGAGGGAACAGGCATGGAGGAGGAACAGGAGTAAATTATCAGGTCTATTACACCAGGCACAGACATGTGCTGGAACATTTCCCTTGCATGAGTTGTGCAGAAGCAGGACACGGGACAGCCAGCTTGTGTGAAACATGGGAAAACAAATCCTAACTGTTTGGGGTTGTTTAATAAAATAGTGGCTTCTCTGGAAAATTAGATCAGAGGTTTTCCTTTGGGAATGGGAGGAGATGAAACAATTGACTTAAGCTGACTGTTGATAAAACACAAGTGTTTGAGCAGACTGTGACTTTAAAACTGTTTTTACTTACAGTGAAATTATTACTAATAAAGCAACCTTTATTTTTTTATAACATACCCAGTTGGACGGTGCAATTTAATTGCTTTGTTTTAAGATACATACTGTGTACAATCTGCCTTGTTCAAAACATCAGGCTGCAGACCTGAGGACAATTTATCTCAGCTAGCTAGGCTATGGAAGATCTGTCTCTTTCTCTATACGTCCCACACCACCCACTGTGAGGAGACCTTTCTATGCAACTGAAGCAAACAAAACTGCAGGAACAGCTCTGAAGTTATTTTTTGGCATGTAAGTTTTAATTGTACACACATCATCTGATTAGATCTGGTTTTGGATGTCAAGTTCACATACTGTTGTGTAATCAAACACCCAATAACAGGAAAGCTATAGAAATTCTTTAAATCTATCAGATGTTCATATAGCACTGTTGCAAACCATCTGGTCTCACTTATCTGCTAAATCAAGATAATGGGTGGTATCCATCATTACTGATGAATGATTCATGGTAACATATCAGTATCCTCTGACCCGTAACTGAGGTAATGCAGCATTCTCTTTTGCTTTTATTTTCCCAGAGACATTTGATTCACTACAGAGTAATGACTAGAAGTCATGGTAGTTCTTCTAGAGACCAAATTCCCTGAGTAATTTTTGAGTATTTCAAATTTCATTAACCATGCTCTTCTTGCTTGTTTCAAGATGTATGTGCTTTATACATTACAAAGACTGTCCATTTGACCTGAATGCTAAGTGTTTTTCATCACTTTTCAGGTGATGAAACTTTTCAAAGACAGCCAGTCAAGTGTTTAATTTGTCTGCAGCCACAGACACTGCTTTGGCAAAAGTGTAGGCATAGAAATAAATATTTATTTTTTATTTTTTTTATTTTTTTAGTGAAGGGCATATTTTCTTTTCAGTGCACACATTAACGTTAATGGCAGTTACACAACGGCAGTGAGAGACTATAACCACAGATGATTAATCTAAAACGTCTGCATAACTTGAATGAATTGAGCACTGCATACAACTGACACCTGAATACAATCAAGTCTCTATTGTTGATCTTTTTTATATCTTTTAACAGCCCTCTAAAACAATTTCTTATCAGGTTCTGGAAGCAAACTTAACAAATATAAATAAAGGACCAAATTTTGCTAGATGCTAAAAATGCATGCAACTCCCACCAACTTCAGCGGAAGCATATGCATATGGGGGCAGAATCCAACTCAGGAAATGCAAAATTATAAAGATAATAAAATAAGTTACTTCTGCGGTGTCAGTTCTCTAATTCTTTACAAAGTACCTGATTTAAATAGGAAAGCCGCTTGTTAGAAGATGAAGGATTATGCCCATACCCAGTTAAAGCTGAATTATTTGGAACATTTTTTCACAAGATGCTGTCAGGAACAGCTTGATTGCTATCTATACTCTCCCAGCTCCTCTTTGCAGCAACATTAGCAGTTGTCACATGGAGGATTATGAAGTCTTAAAATTCTCTTTATAAAACTACCAATTTTAATTACTGGAATTGCCGAACTAGTTTCATACCAATAAGCTTGATATTGTTGTCTTCATCTAGCAACAGATTTTCTATCTTCAAGTCTCTGAAAGAAACAAAATATTTTGAGTGAGCCTCTGAAATAATGAAGCAACTTCCCATCACTCTCATCAGTTCATTTACAAAATTCATATATATAATAACGGGTATTATGAAAGCAGCGCACACAGTTCCACATTCAAAGCAGAAAGCCCCATGCACTGTCTCCTCTCCGTAATTACCAGTACTTTCACATACAGGTTCACACCAACTCTTCATGCACAGAAAGAATTTACAAACATTTGTCAGTAAATCCTGTAATTAATCAGATTCTTTGAATTTCTCGTGTACTTATAAGCCTGCAGAAACCTTGTACATGGGAAACATTTCAAATATGTTTTTGAATTGGAGGTCGTTTTCTCATTACTCTTCATAACCAAAGTCACTTCACTGGATGTAGCTGGAGAATAAACTGCAGAGATTTGAGGAGCCAAATGTCTCTTCTCTGATATTGTCTACAGTTCTGGGGACCACAATCAGTCTCCCCATGGGGATGAGACATCCAAACACTTTACAGAGGTGGTCAACACTAGAAAGCTAGTATAAGGATGAAATATAATACAAGGAATAAATTTTTCACAGTGAGGGTGTTGAGGTACAGGAACAAGTTGCCCAGAGAAGCTATGGATGCCCCATCTCTGGAGGTGTTCAAGGTCAAGCTGGATGGGTCTTTGGGCAACCTGGTCTGGTGGGAGGTGTCCCTGCCCATGGCAGGGGGTTGGAACTGGATGGTCTAAATGAACTAGATGGCCCCTTCCAAACCAAACCATTTCATGATTCTAAGATTCTCATGTGCTAGAGTTGAAAACTGAGGCTGAGGGATTGAAATAGTTTGCCATCCAGTATGTTAGTACGAAAGCTGAGAGAAGTCCTCACACAAGTTTTCTGAGTGCCACTTCAGTGCTTTCTCCACCATTCTACTCTGCTTGACCTCCCCAGAACCACTTCACAGACAAGGGCCCAGACCAGTTTGGGGGGAGAGAAGATAAAATGAAAACAGCTATCAAGCAACCAGTCTGCTGACATGTATTTGTGAGCACTCCGTTCACATTACATGTGTTCTTTCATCATTTACGAATGTGGTTGTGCATTTCTAAACCATGTTCTACATAAGCAAAATATCACAAAGATTATTTTCCCTAAAAATAAAACAGTGAATGAATAAATAAATAAATAAATGGTTCAAGTACAGTATAAGCATTAAGTATAATATGAAAAATCATTTAGGTTGCTACACAACTTCCACACAACTTCTAGGAATTGCTTGTGTCTTTCTTACAAGAATTTTTTCCACAGTCCAGACATAAAATATTTCTATTAGCATGCCAGGATATCAATAGCTCAGACTGCCAGTGGTGTTTCTCTCAGTACACTTCGGAAAAAAATGGATAATAAAGCCATCAGCTATAATTATGGGAAGTCAGTGACATCCACGTTATTTTGCCTTTGTAAGGAAGAGGGAGTAATGAAGAATGCCTCTATTGCAGATGAAGATGTATGCTTAATAAAATAAGACAAGTAAACCAACCAAACCAAACAAAGCACTTTCTCAAGAAAGGATCTGGGAAATAAAAATAACTGTGACCAACTCCAAGCCTTTTTTTTTTTTAAATGTTCCTCTCCCCTCAGTTTATGTCCATGCTATCTTTCAAATAAATCTAAGAAAAAAGAATATTTGCATGTAGGATGACACTCACTTCACCCGTACAATCACAATGACCATCTCCCTATTGAACAGATGTTTCCATACCCTAGCTAGCATTTCTCGCAGATTTTCCTTGCTTCATGCATGAAAAGATAGAGGGGAAATGATACATAAATCTATTGAAGAAGAGTATTTTGCAAATCTCTGCTATTCGGTGGCATTCCTCTCTTTGCAGGAAACTCCATGCATTGCAACGCGCTACAAACCCACCTCTCTGCCTCCTCCAAAGGGAGCTTCTGCCGTATGGTAACCACCACGGCTGAGAAATTGCTTGGTACAAGAGTGACGTGCCTTGCCAGATGGATCCAGATCAACCCACTTCCACTTCCCCCCACTGCCAAAAAAGGGCTTATTTCTTCACGTGTCACGCCTTTATTGCTTGCAGATGGAGATTTTTCCACAGACAGGGTGATTAGCCTCTAGAAAGATATCGGGGCCAGGTATTTAACAAGAGAGAGTGCCAAAAAAACAGTATGGAAAAGAAAGAAGACTTGAAAAACGAACAGAACCAAGTGGGACTTTGAGTCGTACGCTGAAACATTCAGAACAAACTCTCAAAGCAAGAAGCAAGGCAATTTGGAAGTTCCGAGTACATTAAACATTAGCTAAAAAGAGGTAAACTTTTAAAAATAGAGGAAAGAAAATAGAAAGATGAAAGCTATAAGTTGAGGTGAAAAGACATGCAAGCAACTAAAATAACAAATGAGTGACAGAAGGGCTAAAAATAAACACAAGATATTTAAAAGGATTCATGGTTAAAAAATAAAACTAAGGATAAATATTACAGGGAATCTTAAAGCTATCAGAGGAAAAAATAAATAAATATAGCTTCAGTATAGAGTGCAATCAGACCTGGTTAATTAAAGCCATTCACCCATACGTCTATTCTCAGCAGACTTGCCACCAAGCAGTAGCTGATCTAATAGTTCATGTATACCACATTTTTGTCAGTCCACGTCAACATGAAAGCCCTTTTTTTGGTGTGATGCTGGGAACTAGGACAACAGATTTTCACTCTTTGGTACAACCTAACGAAAAGATTCCATGTGAACCTGTCTAAGAATCACAAAGCTGTACAAAACCAGACCAAGAAAAGCCAGATTAGACCATAGCTGGAGAACCACTGCTACACAGACATGGACTATCCAGAGAGCGCAGGGCAGGACCACCCCGCAGCCTGATCCCACTGGGATGGCCACCAGCAGTGCTCATAGATGACTGGTACCGATGTACGGCAGGAACCTGGCACCCATGGCCAGGGCAGCAGGAGTGCAAACACAGCCTGCTGGTCAGAGGGCTTATTCTGTGAATACTTTAAGTGATTTTAACAATACACCAAATCACCCGCTATTGCTTTTTGACAAAAAGCGTGATTGTACAATCTGGTTTTATGTCTCTCTTAGGATCATCCCGTAGAGACAGCACTGATTTCCCTCAAGTTCCTAAATGTTTTATTATGTTAGTTCAATCTGGTTCCAACATAAGTGTTTTTGTTTAGTTTTAATTATTATTACTATATTATGATTATCATTATTTACAGACAGGCTTATCTCGGTTGCTACTTTGTTTGAATGCTTACATTAATTCCTTGCAATGGAAAAAAAAAAAGCACCATTACATTGAAAAGTTAGGGAACAACGAGTTTCATGCACAACATTATAAAACGGTTGACAAACAAACAAAAGCAAACATCCCACCATATGTATTCTGGTGAGATTTCTTTTTGCACACTTTTAATGGTAGTATACTGCAAGGCAGAATGCGAGTTACTTGCTATGACAGATGTAATGCTTGAAGTCTTTTTTGGAAGACAATGGGAAGATGCAGAGCAATTAAACATTAGGCATATATGCAGGTCCCTGCAGACTCAGAGGTTCCTGTAATTCTGAAAATGCCTTGCACTTTTCAACGGGACACAGCTGCTTTGTGACTGAGAGGGCCATGCAGCTGTACATGTACCACAGTATGTGGAACTGAGGTGGGGAGAAGACATGCAGTTGCTGGAGACCTTCAGTTCAGAGTGGGACGTGATTCATAGGATGGCTTGTTTAGGTTTGGAGTTTGTTCTTCTGTTGATGGAGCTGATTTTTCCCTGGCTTTGCTTCGGAAACCCCTACTCAAGCCAGTGACTCCACAGAGCAACACGAACCTGCTTCACTTAGCACACTACCTTGGGCTTGTGCCACCAAAAATCACATCTCAACTACCAACCCACAAGCTCACTTTGTAGCCCCATGAAAGAGCTGGGAAGGGTGCAGAGTTTTGGGTTCATCATCGTGTTAACACACATTTCAAAGGCACTGCTTTGTTATCAAAGTGTTGTTTACTGAGCCTGATTCTTCTATCAGCCACAAAGTCACTGAATTCAATGTGGCTGACTCTGTAAAAGTGGAATTTGTTCCATTGTCTTTACTAAAACAATGTTTAGTTTGTTTACAGCAGAGCAGTCCAAGAGAGAATGCCTAAAGGTAATTTTGAAATCTGACATAAAATAGAAAGACAAACCAGCTTTGCACTTCAAATAGAGACTTTGTTCTGTAGTGCAGGATCTGTCATAAATACTGCATCAGCAGCCAGATTACTGGCACTTAAAATTAATGGGATGGAAGTTACCAAAGCCAGCACACGTCAAATTAGTGGGTATCAAAGAAGGACTCCCGTAGCACCCTAAGCAACTGCATCATCATACCACTTTACGCTTCTTGGTGTGCTAGGGAAAGAGCAGAAGGGTATTATGGAAAAATATACAAACTCCACTCAAAACCTCAAGTATTTTCTTATGTCTCTCAAACTCCTGATCTGCTTTTAATTAAAAAATGGCAGTGGAAGGTATGAATATACTGCCACGAAGACTGAAAAAGGGGGAACACAGAAAGCTACCTTTGCTACCAATACATTATTAAATTCTTTTCTTTGACATCCTGACAGTAATTGCACTGAATGGGATTGAATTTTGTTAAAATTACTTTAAAAGGGTTGTTGAGAATTTCCTGTGGGATGCAGTTGCAAGCACCAAGGCTTTCACTTCGTTTTCTCTGTTGTCCTTATGCTCCCGAGGGGCTTATTGTTCATCCTGCCTTTTGACAGCATGAAGGCCTGTGTAAACACCCTCTGAAAAGAGAAAGCTTCACCAGATACTGCCATTTGGGTTTGTTTTCTTCTGTCAGAGGGAAAGATAAATATTCCTACCTGATTCACAGTCGAGCTTGTTGCAAGTGTATTTTTAGCAACCAACCAGCTCTTCTGATAAAAGTAATGAAACACAAGTGATTACATGGAATTATATTTAGAATAGCTGCATTTCTTTCTCCAGAAAGTGGCCACTGAAACCTGGACACTCTCATCAGAGATGCTGTTCCTACACTGGGGTGCTTGCAGCTTTTATATATCATAGAAGAAATATTTATAATTCAAAATATGGTCAAACTCAAATAATTTTTTAATCTCTCTAATTAAAGTGAGGTTTCTCGAAAATCTTTAGACTGCTTGCATGTCACACTGCTTCCTAAAAGAGGCTTTTCTTTTGAGTTCTGGGTCCCTTCTCTTGTCAGAGTGCTTTTCTGCCATGCCAAGTCTTGATTGTAAATCATGAAGCCAGCTGAGTAATGCTCATCAAATAATGTAACCAAATTTAATGCAACTTCTTTCTGGCTTTTTTTCCATCCTGAATTATAGAAGAGGGCAAGTCATCTAGATTATTCCCTGAATAATGTGGACAAAAATGCCTGTGACTTTTGTAATCAAAGGTTCAGTGAACACTTTTCAATGCTCTGCCTGATTCAGGGTGAATGATGAAAACATTTTGAGAGAGGCAAACAGCAGACCGCTTCCTGGCCTACAATGCTGTGTTTTGTTTCACACACAGCGAATGCGAACACCCACAGATCACCACCTCAATGAAAGCTCTGTTATTTTTACCTGTTTTAAAAATAACAACAATAACAACAACAGAACACTGTCATTTCATCCAGGGTGAGCATGAATCAGACTTCTGCACTATTTTTTCCCCTCTTCAGTTAAGTAGTCTGTTTTTATAGCTGCCACGGTCAAAAGCCCAAGAAGCTGAAGGACAACTCCTGCGGTGACTACTAGTCCTTGTCCCTCTATTGCACACAGAGGGATGGGAGAAGAAATTTGGATTGGGCTGCCCGTGTTTTTCTTGTGTCTCTGTGCTGCTCTACATACCTTGTTAATATAGTAAGTCAAGATGCTAACAGTTAAGCCAGAGAAAATATTTTATCAGTATAACTAGAATTGGACCTGCTAGTTATCCAGATGTGTAATGATGGTTTGGATCCACTGACCAGCAAGTGAATCAGTCAGTCCTGCCAGCCCACCATAAGCACATTGGATACCATGACATTAAGCAGAGGGCAGATTTCCCTGTGATAGGTACTTCTGCTGCTGAACTCAGTGCTGCTGCTAGAAGCTCAACATCCTCATCTGTTCCTGACAGGGTTTTCTCTGCCCTTTTCAGAAACTTTGACCTTTTTCTTTCCCCACACCTCATCTCCCTACATACAGGATATGAATTGATCCTTTAAAGCAATAAATAGACTTCTTCCTTTTCCATACCCCAAACTGTAGGGTTAATAATTTAAAGAGATCAGCAGTTCAGCTACTGATAGAGAACCTGCAGACAAGACCTGGCTGCTGCTCAAATATTTATGGTGCAGTGGTACCAGAAGCTTAGCTTGAGATAAGACCTCAGTGCACCCGAGGTTATAGGTGCACGTAGCACCTACCCGTAAAGGACTGTAGGGAACAAGCAGAGAGACCTTGAGACCAAAAAAAGCATATTTCTGGGTGTGTGGAGCCGGGCCTGGCAGCGTAGCCTGGTGGTATTAAGTCCCAGATCTGCAGAATTATGCAGGTGCCTTGCTCCTGCTACCGAGAGGATGGGGCCTACATGATGTGCTCAGCGCCACGTGGCAAATCTGTGGGAGTTCAGACTTGACTCCCGTCATCCCAAATTTAGAAAGTGTAGTCTCCTTCTTAGACAACATCCTATAAATACACCTAGGAACAGAATAAGAGACATACTGGGTCAGACCAAAGGTACATCAGCCCACCATCCTCCTGTCTCCATAGCAGCCAAGAGCACATAAGTGGAGAAGGAAATAGGGGCAGGCAATCATGTGTGGTATCTCCACCTGTGCACTCCCAGCCTATGCCAGGTGCTGCTCATGGGCTTCAGGCAGAGGTACAGTAAGGCTATTCCTTATTCCGAAACCCTCAGCAGACCTCTATTTGATTAACTTGTCCTGTTTCCCCTTGAGCCCAGGTAAACATCCTGCTTACGCACTGATTAAAACAAGGTCCTAAAGAAAGAAACACATCACACAGCATTGCAGCAGCTCTGGATTTCTCCTGAGAAGACACTGCAAGATGAAGTGAACAGCTGCATACTCTGGATTGTACTTCCCTTTCTCCGATCTTGCGAGGTCCCATTGGGGCAATACAATTAGTGGAAAGAGCAGAGAAGCACAAGCAAGGGACTTCTGTGAAACCATTTAGGCTTCATCCTTGACAGACTTTGGACAAACCAGTTCATCTCCCTGAACTGCTGTATTTCCACCAGCGAAACAGCAGACATGACCTCCTCAAAGACACAGTGAAACCATACAGTAGTTAATGTTGGTACTGAGCTTCAAAGAAGCAAAATAGTACTAGTGTAGTACAGACCTATGTTGATGTAGTACAGGCCTATGTTGAAGGACATGCAGTTGATGCAGCTACTGTGCACTTTTTCTGAAGTTAAACAGTTAGGTAAGTTCTTTCTAGAGATGCCTTTACTGTCTAAAATATGAACAACTAAACAATATCTTAAAAATTAGCCAAAAGCTGGCTGTAATACATTTTCAAAAGGAAGTCACCTTGCTATATAAATACATGCATAGACGCCACTTTGAGGCTCTGAGGTAAATTTGTTCCAGAGAGGGTTTTAAAGATTACCTGTGGACTACTCCTGCCCGATGAAGATGTTCTACAGCCAGAATAAGCTGCCTGATGTATTTGCGTGCTTCGTGCTCTTCAAGTCTTTTTTTCTCATAGATCTTGTGCATCAGGTTGCCACCAGGGCACAGCTCCATGACAAGGTAGTAGCTGTTCTCAGTTTCCAGTATATCCAACAGCTGGGCTATATTTGGGTGGCGGATCATCTGCTGGATCTGCCCTTCCCGTCGCAGATTCTTAGTGACATAAGTGTCCTTTTTGGCTCTTTTCTTGTCAATTACTTTCACTGCCACCTAGTGAAAAACAGAGGAGAGGGGGGTTATTAGCTGTCGCACACTGATGATTTATTGCTTTAAACCTGCACAAACAACCTCAAAAATAAAAATAAATAAATAAATAAATGGCTGTAATTCCCAACTGGTACACCAATGTTTCAGGCACAGCTGCCCAGGTCAGAGAAACAGCTGATTTTGCAACCCCAGCCTCCACTAACAATTACTCCCTTGTGCGATGACAGACAAAAGTTATTGCAAGGAAATAGGTAACAAAGGGAAGACAATGTTCTCATTAACCACTCCCAAATACTGAGCATATTTAATGCTGGACATTTAATTTCATCTACTATCTCAAAAAGTCTCCAAGCTGGTATTTACAAGTTGTTAACTGTCATTTTTGGCTTTTCCTGGCTTAGGACATACGACTTCAGATGATCTGCTTCCATTACAAGTTCCTGAAATTATAGCCAACTGTTAGTTTTACATGACTGAAAAGAAAAAAGAAAAAAAAAGAAAAAACAAAAACAAAAACAAACAAACAAAAAAAAACACCACAGTTGTTTTGGTACCACTCTCTTGGCACATTTCTTTTTCTCTTTTAAAACATACATGAAAGACAGTTCCCTTGTTACTTCTAGAACTGAACAACTCTGCAAAATCCAAGAAGGCAAAAATTTTTTTTTAAATGTGGGTACTAAATTGCATACCACTCAGAGCTGTCCAAGTCAACTGAAGCCCATCATGAAAGTATGTAATAAAAGCAAAGAGACTGCACCACAGCCTATGACACAGTCTAGCCCCTGTTGAAGTGCTTTCATTCCTACTGCTGGTGCAGACACTACATGAGAACAAAAGGACGGGACCAGTGAGGATATCACTCTTTTCTATGCTTAAAGAACCTGATTCCTTTTACTGTTTTAATGGAGGCACTAAATAATTGCAATTAATTAGCATCTGCCTTTATCTGTCTCAGATTTGTAGATACTTATTTATTGAGATTTCTTATTTAGAGTGCGTGCTGCAGACTTCCAGGTCATCTGCGCCAGACAATGATTTAACAGCATATGCCAGCAGAGCAACAAAAGGCACTGGATCCTCCTCCCCTGCCCCTCATTTCCTCAGAGCTCTGCAACAAAGGAAGTCCTTTAACGCATGCACCAGCCCCAGCGGCTCACTGATCATTACCCAAGTGACAGTTGTTTGTCAGGATGAGGGAAGGGGAATACAGTGCTTGGTATTCCTGTGTGATGCTGAATTTTACACAAAACTGGTTGGAAAGGTTCTCGTTTGCACAGGTACAGGTCCAAGAGAAGGCAGAAAAAATGCCATAATCCCTCTGCCCTCCCTGATGGGGGCACAAAGATGCTACACTTGCATCTTTGCTGTGTGCCTTGATTTGGCCTTGGAGGACCTCCTGCATTAACTTACTCCTACGATGAGAAGAAATAACAAACATGGGGAAAATCTTGGAGTTTTACTGACTGGATTGCTCATTCTCAATATCCAGAGAGTAGCTCAAGCCAAACAGGCTTCCATCCATCTCCATCTTGTACAGCATCCCTCCTCATGCTACTCACAACACACTTGCTTCCAGCTACAGCCAACTACATGGTTAAAATCCACGGCATTATAGGCTTCTGGTCTTGGGCATCAGGGATACAAAGTTGTTAACAAAATGCCTGGCCCCCTCCCCGCATGAGAAAGTGTCACGTCAGGCATGTGACAGCTCCCAGTTTGGCTAGCCTAGCCTTTTTTCTACAAGAAATAGAAAGTTTGAATTAGTAAACAATTTGTTTTTTCTTCAGAAAATAGAAGCATTAAATAAATAAATAAATAAATAAATAAATAAATAAATAAATAAATAAATAAATAAAAATACGCCCAGACTGTTTAACACAAACTCCTAGAGTCAAAGTCAAGTTTTTATGAGCAGATAAATTGGAGAATAAAACTACAGGAGTCTGGGCTTAATAGTTTGTCTTAACAAATAGAAGTCAGCATCATGGCATACGTTATTAGCTGGATACATTTCTGCTGTTAAAAGATGATTCTAATGAAATACCCTTGATAAGAAGGCAAGGCTAAACACCACATGCGTGACAGCTGCCTGGGTGAAATGTGGAGCAGCATCAGAGCCATAAATGCCTGGAAGCTACATTCCTGACTAGTCACATTAAAGAAAGATCATTCTGTTTTAAGATAAGACAACAGGCAAATCAGAGCTTTACTTAACCATTTTTGAAAGCCTCAGGTGATTCACCAAGGAAACAGTCTTAAATTAGTATGTTCTTCAATCTAATGAAATAAGACCAAGAACACAGAGGCTTGCATGGATTATTTGGACAGCAAACCACAAAAGCTATTCTGGTGAGGACAAACAAATTTGTGGGTAAAAGAAACATGATATACCAGTTTGTTTGCTGGCAGCACAACACAACCTCTGCAAAAGTTGAGAACAATGCACACGAAAATGCTGCTGTTTTCTGCAGCTGCAGGATACACAACATGGGTTATTAACAAAATGGAGCAGTAACCTCTTGTCCATATCAGGAAGTCATCCTGAACTCATTGACTAAAAAAAGCACGTTACTAAACACATGCATATCTCCTACGCGGGCTGAGCATGGCTGTTGGGAACAAGGGCAAACACCTGAACCCAGGAGACAGAGCCAACTATGTGACTACTTGCAAACTTTTTCACCATCACAAAGAATTAGCCATCTACGTCTTAAGGACAAATTTTCTCTTTGATTTTGACAGATGCTTGGTCAGGCACCCTATCTATCCCAACAGAGCTGCCTTCAGACCCCATCTTGAGTCTGAGCTGCCTTTTCCATACCTTCAATATCCCTTGCATTGGGTCCAAGAAGTCCATCAGCACAGCTAACAGCCAGCTGATAAAGGAGGCAATAAGAGTTTTGTTTCAGCAACAGCTTTGCACAGGGGAAAGAGAAGAGTAAAACACCAATTAAGAGTACTGAAAGCTTGCATTTCCCATATCAGAAAGGACACAAGGTTCTGTGACACCTTGCTTGCTCCTGGGACAGTGCAAGCAGGACCTTGCCTCCACTCCCAGTTCCATGCTGCAGCACATGGTACTACAGAAATATTTCAGATGGATGAAATATTTTTTCTCTCTCCATAGATTTTCTCTCTCCATCTCAGGGATAATTCAAAAGCTTTAAAGAAATCTCCATATATCTAAAGAAAAAAATACACAGTTGACCCAACACATAAGCAACCTATTGACTGTCATACAGATGTTCATAATTGCTTCTAGCTGTTGTGCCTCTCCATTTCTCTTCATCCCAGCTCATCTTCGTTACAACTCCTTTCATTTATTCTTTTGCTCTTCTAGTCACTGTCCTTTCCCTTGCACTGCTCTTCTTGCTTTTGTTTTCTCGTAGGATCCTTTTTCTTTCATAAATGAAATGCACCCCATGATAGGGAGTCAGCACTGTCAGGCAGAGCTCCGATGGTTTGTTTTGGTTTGGTGTTGTTGTTTTGTTTTGTTGTAGGTTTTTTGTTTTAGTTTTTGGTTTTGCCTGTTTGAATTTCTTGGATTTTTTCTCCAATTTACAATTCATTCTTAAGCATACAGAGGAAATCCATGGATCAAAATGTGCGCTCAGTAACTCCAGGGTTGACTTAGCTCAATATCCTTGATTTTGAGTTCATCCAGAGTTACACTGAGGTAAGTGGAGACGGAATGTGCCCTGACACATTTAATATGCACAGACTCATGTATGGTGCATATGCACGCATACACCTGAAAATGTCATCCATGCAGAAGGAAAAAGCATTCAGTATAGAAAATACCCTAGATGCTAGCTAGCCACAAAGCAAACACATTCAAGCTTTCATAACCTACTCAAGATAAGACAATTATTCTGTTTTGCTCTCCCAAGTTTCACGTGGGGGTTCTTTGCATCACGCTTATCTCCTGACTTGAATTGCCAGCCAATATTGGCATAGAAATAAAAATAAATGATAAAGCAAGTAATTACTCTGAATATGTATCAACAGTGGCTCTTGACATTCAACACATTGCTTTTGGCTAAATCTTTGCTGTGTAAATAAATAAATGGTTTAGGTTATTCTGTGTTATGAGATACGAAGATGAGTAATAGGCCGTATTTTTGGTTCCAGAGTCCTAGAATTACTGTTGGAATGAATTACTTTCCTGAAGTTTATGGTGTGACACATCATATGAGCAATTGCTGCTTCTCTCGATCGTTGCACTAAAATAGTTCAGGCTGGGCTAAAATGTACTGGAACGGAGGTGAGGGGAAGTGTAAACACCACTATTCTCCAAAGATAGTTGTAGGAGACGGTTGCATTGCTTGCAGAACCCAGCGGCTAAACCAACAGCGGCAAATACAGGCACGTGCCATCACCCAAATAAAGGCACACGTTTGACACACGTGGGAGGAGGATTTTTGCCACTTAGTGCTTCAGGAGGGTTTCTGAAGCTGCAAGAGAGAGGCAGGGGGTGGAGCTGGCTGGCACCAGACAGCACAAAAACAGTCACAGCAAGGCCCTGAGAAAAAGCAAGAAGAGACAGTTTAAAGGACCAGATGTTGCCTGGAGAAAGCTGGGAGCAAGGGCTTCAGCATCCAGAGAAAGCACATTTTGCATGCTCTTTATAAACAACCATACCTTCTCACATAAAATTGCAACAAAGCATGGAAGGCGGCTCAGGGGACGTGTTTGGAGTTTCCCCATGATCCCAAGTGAGGACAATTAATGACTTTGTTCCTCCTTGCTTATTCCATTCTTCCCTCAAATGCAAGGCAGGGAAAAACTTTATTACAGAAGGAATGACTTGCCCAACAGACAGACCTCTGCCTTCAGACCTGACCACAGACAGACCTCAGCAGACCACCCCACAAAAGGCTACCCATACCCAGTATCCTGCTGACGAAGCTATCTCTGCCTTTCTTCTAACACATGCTGTCTCTGGCTGACCCAGCATGCAGCACACGAAGGGTTTCTGCTGGGCTCACACTGCCATCTCC